AAAGTAATTTACCGGTCACATTATTTATTTGATTATGCACTTCAGTAAATCGCGAGACTGAAATGGTCGGGCCGAAGGCCCGACCATCGCCGCCGGCAGGCGAAGGAGGCCCGGCCCCTGCCGAACGGAGTTGCCGGCGCAGCGAAGTGGAGCTGGCAACTCCGTTTGGCGGAAGGGCGGGCCTGCTTGTTTAGATTGGACGCTTACTGTGTAGGAAGTGTTTAACCGAGGAATTGCACACTTGCAAATGCACACTTACCGAGTTGCACACTTGTAAGTATTAAACTTGCAGTTGCACACTTCCAAGTATTTAACTTACAGTTGCACACTCAGAAGTGTTGAGCAGTTGAACACTTAGTTTATCAGTGTACAATTGGCTGAGATAAATGTTAATTTAACCATTTCTACGTGTTTAGTCTGAAATTAGGGCCCTTGGTCCGAAATTAGGGAACATGACTGTGCGGCGCTGTGCGGTGTATGGGGTGGGGCACGAACTTCGCGTTCAAGGAGGGTGAACTTAACACCCCAGGCAAGAACCATGCCAAATTGTACGTTCACGCCTGCATCGCAAGTAATTTTAGTTTCAGAGCAAAAAAAATGACCGATAATTGTTTTGACAAGTGCAAAAAGCATAGAGTTATAGGCCTACCTGTAACAGTCCTCGATGACCATGGTAGCCCATTCCTAAACTTAGTTTCTCGAGCTTCTTGAGGACAGGCGACTTTGAAAAGATTCTTTTTACACTGATATGCTTCTCATCACCAAACTCATGGATGCTGAACGACCGCAGTTGTGGGAAAGAGTTGATCAAGGTTATGGGCGGCGTTAAGGACATTCGCTTCAAACCTGAAAAAAAATCCAAAACGAACAAGTGACACACGTACACCACGCCAAGCGTAACTCATTCACTTTGCTCACTTTGCTAAAAATTTCCACGAAACTTTCAATGGCATTGTCAAAAAACAAAAATGCGTACGGACGGGTTGCCTAATCGGCACGTAAGGCGCGACATGGGCGAACATTGTAGACAAACCGGACAACTCGATGCACGGAGGAGGTAGGAGGACTGCGACGAGGACGAGAAAGGAGCGGAGCAGTTGGGGGGGGG